GCAAGATTTGTTTATTCAGTCGGGATGCAAATAAATCAATTGCTATATCGCCCCAAAGGGATTGAATGCGATTGAAAATCTTGGGTTTAAGCATCCATTCAGTCCTATCATTAAATAATCTGGACTGCTTATCCGCAGTAACATTCTGCGATCCTGGGAGATAAGAAGCAGATACCCATATATTCTGATCTATACACCAAAACCAAAGTTTTTGTGCGAGTTCATTACATGGCTTAGATTGTATACCACCCATAGAATTTACGTAAGCAACTGCAGTGGCATTATCCATCTGGATACGCACATGAACATTCCTTGACGAGGAACAAAAGGAACGTAAAGCCAAGTATGCTGCTAGCAATTCAAGATAATTGATATGCTGAGTAGCCTCAGTGGTTGTCCATTTGCCTCCTGCATGGAGTGATTTATGGACCGCACCCCAACCAAGTTTGGATGCATAACCAAGTCTGGTTCTCCATGAGAAATTTGTTTGACACTGCCCCCTATATTAGTAAGCCACCAGTTTAACTCTTCTTTGGATTTCTCAGACAACCGCATAAGCGCAGAGAAATCACCTTTGCTGTTTTGCAAAGCTTTTATTTTGTCTGTTTCAATGCTTCTATAGAACAATTGTCTGTATTCAACCCCTGAAAAGCAGGCAACTAGGACGCCAATAGTGGACGCAACATCCTGAATGGTAATCAGGTTTTTGCTTAACACAGATGTAATTTGGTTACAGACCTTTTCAACTTTGCCAATTGTTGGTTGAATAGTCAAACTATTTGAATTCAGAATAAATCCCAAGAATGTTAATTGTTGCGTTGGTTCGAATACGGATTTGTCGGGGTGGACTCGGAACCCCAGATTGGTGAACAATGAGGCTGAATGCCGAACATTTTCGGTACAATCTTCTTTTGTGTCTCCCTGTCAGTAGGAGTCATCAATATAACCAACTGATAAAAAGCCCTTCTTTCTTAGGGTTGAATAAACTGGCTTCAGCAGTTTTGTAAAAATTCTTGGGGCTGACGCTAGGCCATTTGGCAAACAAGTAAATTGATACCATTTATTTCGCCATGAAAACTTTAAGAATTGTTGGTGTTCTTGGGCAATTGGCACCGAATAATAGGCATCTCTTAAGTCAATAGAGGCCATGTAGCAGTCGCGTTTCATTAGTCGCACTGCGGAGACTAGTGTATCCATCTTGCAATGATGATAAGCAACTGATTTGTTAAACTGTTTCAAGTTCAAAATCATTCTATAAGTGCCGTCTTTTTTAAGTCTGGGGAAAACTGTGGAGACAAACTGTCCCTTTTCATGGAAAGAATGTTTTATAACACCCTTTTTAATGAGCTTGTCTATTTCCAAATCAAGACTTATTTTCTCTGTCTCATGAAAATTAATTTCTGTTGGCGGCCATATTTGAAAAGGGCGGCACCCTTCCTCGAATTCAATATGGCAATTTTGAACCGTATCAAGAACTTGCTTATCTGAGGTAATATTCCTCCAAGACAAAATAAAGTCCTTTAAACGACCTGCTATATTGGCTTCTATTTGGATTTGATTTGAAGGTTGTCTTACCTCCTGTTGCTGTGCCAAGATTGGCGGCTGTTGTACCTGCGGGAGTACAAAAAAACCCGGCCTGCAGCGCCTCTTGCGCCCCGGTACTGGTGGCCACCTCTGTCATATAACCTGTGCCCCGATCGACCTCTCGCTCGTCCCCCACGGGAACTGATTGCCAATTTTAAGCCAACCTTATTCACTTCTGACATATCTTTGACTTGTTTGGGTAGGTCATCCCCAAAAAGTTGTTCAGTGAACTGAACGGTAGTATCACGAAGATGTTTAAAATTGGGATTAATATCTTGCTTGATAAATTCCCTGCGTCGCATATTCAACTGATAATTGGCATTAGCCATAAGTGCGATCGCATCTGTTGCATTACGCAGCAGTGGTTTTATGTCAAGTTTATCAAGCTCCTTCTTTTTAGATGCTTGAAGCAGTTGTACCGAAAGCTGAAGCACAGGTACAACTGACTTAATGACGGATGTCTGAATTTTTTGAAATTTGACATCCTGGGAGCGGGTACTGCTCGACATATTGTCCCAAATGAGTTTGTTCACTTTTGTTGGGATCACCTTTTCACAGTTCTTTGGTCTGTTATAGGTTTTATACATGTCTTTTACTTTGTCGTCGGACAATTTATCCCGCATTATAGAGTTTGCAATTGATGCCAACTGGGCATGTACTGCATCAGAAGTTTGTTCATCTATCTGAAAATCTTGTGCAATATTTGCAAGTAACTCGTTTTGTTCAGAATTATTTTCTGGTGTTGCAGCACTTGTGCTGGCGGTATCAGGGTTTGTTTCCTCAAGTAGTCTTGCAACGCTCGACTCATGGTCATAGTGGCTAGTATTTCCACTATCCATTTTTCGCCGTTTCGGCGACATTACTTTGTGAGCAGATTCGCTCTCAGCCTCGTCATTAGACTGTGGCTGCACGGCCATGAACATTTGGGTAAATTCTTGGAATTGTTTAGTGAAGCTTGTCTGCATTGATTCCATTGCACCTTTCATCATTTGGCCTAAAGCCATTATGTCTGGGGAACATTTTTGTACAGTTTCGGAATTATCCAACTGCGACTCGTTCGTGTTCTCCTCATAGCTTCGTTTTTTTATTCTGAGGAAACTTCCATTTTTTACTAACAGCATTACCTGTTTTTGTGCGCCATTCCTGGCCACCACCAGGTTGCGCGGGTGGAAACCCAGAGAGCCCGTCAGGAGACCCTGAGCCCCTGAGACTATTCAACTTACAGGATGGTGAGAGGAGAGCAAACAGATCTTCATCCTCCGGGCTCAGGGTCAACTCGCCGTGCTCAGTCGGTTGTCCAGCCATGCTGTGCGTAAAGTATAGACAACTATTCGCCGGGGACAATAAGTCACGTCTGAACGTCGCGAGGTCCAGCAGCACAGTGAACACGCTTGGTCACGCCGCGCTATCTCACGTGGTCTCGAGGTGAATATCGAGAACGAGGTAGAATACAATATTCAAGACAGAGGTATAACAATAATATTTGGCTGTGCTAGTTGTATGTATACAGGTACTTTGCTAAGCTGCTTGCAACCACCTCTCGACTTCCTAGTTACATCTTTAAAGTGAAAATATTTCTCATGGAATTTTGAAAATGTATCACCGAAAAATCAGGGATAACTTATAAAGTGCTGAGAACCCTGAATTGAACTAAATGAGCCAATCCTGGTCGAAAACAATTTCCTTGTCTTGTTTATTCATCGAATTGTTAATATGAGTGTATAACGAGGGGCGACACACGACGGGCGACGCGCGACGGACGACGCGCAGCGCGCAACGGATGAAGGGCGACGGACGACGGACGACGCATAGCAGTGGACGGGCGACGCGCGATGGACGATTGTTATAAACCTTATTGTAATATCAAAATGTTTGAAGATGCAAAATAACGATTCAAAATACATGTACCATGGTGACAAAGTAGCCAGTGGTAGCGTTCTGCTCGACGCCATGGGGACGAAGTTGTCTTTAAAGGTCACGTTTGGCGCGGAAACTGAAAACAGGGTTTAACGGCCGTTGAAACTCTGATTGAGCTGCGGAACAGAAAGTCGTTAAGGTGTAATTGTGCTCGAGCTTTCGTGATATCAGGCGATCATGCGCCAATGAGGCCTAAATGTATATAAGGCCTTGTCCGAAACGAGCTCCCAGAGTTGCGACTACGTCTGCTCTCAGCATTTCCCCATATTTGCAGTGCCGGGACGAAGACCTAGACAATAGCCCCTAGACGAGAGATACGGATGCGACCTTACTAGCTAAACCGTGGACAAGTAGCAAACAATAACTGGATAACGTTCTTCTTGAAGCTTAGGCTCCAACTTACAGGACTTTTACAGGTACGTATGTCAAACTTTCTTCGTTTCCCCTCAAAATTCAAACACGGATTCTGTGTCTGATTTTTAATGAATATCTTTAATATAATAATAACAACAATGTGGTGCTTATAATAATTATAACGTTTTATAAATAACCAAGGTCTAAAAGCGCTTCACAGTGCAGATATGTTTCGGCTTGGGTGTGAATACCTCCAATGTCATGCCAAATTATATGCAGTTCTAGGCCTATATTTCGCTCCTGGTAAAATGATGTCTGCTTGTACTTTTACATAAACCGCTGACTGTCTGAATCAAGGTGAAACAGGGTGTAGGTTGTATCATTCTCCATAGATTAAGAAGCATATAGGCAAGCCCAAAACGATAATTTCTAGTGTTTTGAAAGACATGTCCAAAATCTTGTGTCAATCCTATCACTAAACTGAAAGCACTATCTGATTCTCGTATTGCTGTGAACTTACATGGACCAGTTTGTATGAGAATAGCCTAATGTAGGCCTACTGTGCACAATTTTTTTTTCAAACGTCAGTTGAGTTGAGTACACAAAAAAAGGAATCACTGCATAAAAAGTGGCCATGTACTTCATCTTTAAAAACAAGACAAAGTTACTGTATCTAGTAACCACCCCGACACCCATGGGGGTCGCGAGGGGGGGGGGCAAGGGGGCGCTTACCCCCCCCCGGAAAAGCAACCCCAAAAAAAAAAGAGAGAGAAAAAAGAAAAAGGAATTTAATGAGTTGGGGGAGGGGCAAAATGTCCCTGCCCCCGTCTAAAACTGAGAAATCGAGAATTTGTTCAGGAATACAAGAATTTTTTTGGAAAAATATGTTTTGCCCCCCCCCCTCTAGAAACAAATCCTGGCGACGCCCATGCCGACACCAGCTTCTATATAGACAAAACTGTTGTTGCAATCACGACTATCATATTTAACACAAAGCCATATGGAGGTCTGAAATGCATGGTTTAATCCTGAAATATCTTCAGTAACAGCCTCATGGCAATAATGATATTGTTGAAATATAAGTATTCCTAATGCGGTCAGGGGCTCCAAACTTTATGTTCAAATGCATGCAGAAGCTACAGACCATGGCATCGGTCGTGCTATCCACCCTACCCCCGATCTCGAACGAGACAGACCCAACTCCGCCGCTACTCGTCGTCGACCCGTATTTCGGTCAGCCTGTCCAGAAGGCCATCGGCATCTTCACATTTGTGATAATCGCAGTGGGTCTCGTGGGCAACTCGGCCGTTATCTACATCGTGGTGCGTTACCGTGACATGCACACGACGACCAACTTCTCCTTCGCCAACCTGGCGCTGACTGACATCCTCCTGTTGGTCTTTCAAGCCTTGTCCATCACCCTGGACATCTTTGGCTACGGTGTGTCGGTGAGCCTCAACTGCTGGCCCACGTTCTACCTTCGACACGTATGTATTGGGGCCGTGCTACACATGTACATGCAACTTGTTTCAATTCTCCTATAAGAAAAGACAGGCAAAATTGAATTACTTGGACTGTTCGGAGGATTTTTCATGAAGCATTTGATAACGTACTTTGATCTTCCTAAGCTTCTTAGCAGACCATTTTTGTTGTGATTACGGGAGACGTATAAACTAATACGAATTTAACACTTACCGTTTGAGTCCTTAATACATCAGCAGTGGTACAACTCTTTTCAATTTTATTATGGATAAAAGCTTTCATTGCCCTGAAACTTTCATCCGATGACAGGTTATTGGTGAGGTGACGGGTCTTACGTTGGCGATGATGTCATACGACCGATGGAGATTGGTTGCGTATCCGCTGGAGGCCGTCAAACACACCGAAAGACGCAAACGGGTCTTTCTGTTCGGTATAGTCATTCTGTGGGCTGGTAAGTGACATATCAGGCAACGGCCAAAGAAACAAAGGTTAAGGACATCTTTCTAGTGATTTAGTATTCACGGTTACTATTTTGAAGGTCTTGATCTGTAGTTCGTTTCCTGCTTTTGTTTTGCTCTCAGTGTCATTTGCGATGTATGTTCCGGTCATCTTCTACTCGGTCAAAATAGTATCCCTTTATGCTGCCTTTTGCACCATGTGGTTTCCTTGGGAATACGGCCAGAAGCTTTTCCGGACCTACACCGCCAGCACAATGTACATCGTTCCGCTGATTTTCATCTCCGTGTGCTACCTGAAGATCTGGCTGAAGCTTCGACAGAAGACACCAGGTTCTGCTTTAGCGTCGGGTACCAGCACGGCCAGAAGCTCGCAACGCATGCGCCGAACTCTCCGTTTAATCATGGTTGTGATTGCGGTCTTTGCGCTGTCGTGGCTACCGTCTCGCGTGCTCTTGATGTGGGTGGTGTGGGACCCCAATTTATATGGCCACAGTCCCGTTTACCTAATCGGCTCGGGTATAGCCAATTTGATCATCTACCTGAACAGTGTGGTCAACCCTTTCATTTACCCATTTGCCGGTACCGGTTTCAGAAAACACCTTCCGGCATACTTACGCGGAATGCTTGCGCGCGATCAGACGGTTTCATCACGAACCACGCCAAAAATGTGGCGCTGCAATTGCTCGTCCCCCAGTGCATTGCGAAAGGCTTCCACCGCTAAATCTTTGCGGAACTGCATGGGTAGCTTTGGGTAGCTATTGGCTACCAAAGGTCAAATTGATTGTCCCAGGTCACTGAATGACTCATCGCGTCCTCGTGTGCACATCGATAATTGAGCCTGATGAAGTGGAATCTGTTATGTCACCCCAAACCGTTATTCAAAAATGTCCAGGATGGAGGAGTATTCCTTCTGCGTCTCTGGCGCCATATCCCCCAGTGCCTCTTGGGCCGTCCCCCTTAGATGGGAGGCGAGGAACATCGCCTTTTCGGCCTTACTCCAATGATTGACTGCCACTACGCTCTCAAAATGGCACAAACAGTGAGACCATGCAGAGCTTCCGTCGAACTTATCAGGGAGCATCAGCGGTCTCCAACCCTTTTGATCAAGATTGTTGGTTTGGGGCTTCCAGCTTTACTCCATTGACTCCCGTGCGGAGCAACTCCACCGGCTCTGCTCCATTGACTCCTGTGCAGAGCAGCTTCAACGGCTCCGCTCCATTGGCTCCCGTGCGGAGCAACTGTGCCGGCTGCGCTCCATTGACTCCCATGTGGAGCAACTGCGCCGGCTCCACTACATTGACTGCCGTGCGGAGTAACTCCATCGGCTCTGCTCCACTGGCTCCGCTCCATTGACTCCCGTGCATAGCAACTCCACCAGCTCCGCTCCATTGACTCCTGTGTAGAGCAGCTGCACCGGCTCCGCTCCCTAGACTCCTGAGCGGAGCAGATCTACTGGCTCCGCTCCATTGACTCCCGTGCGGAGCAACTGTGCCGGCTGCGCTCCATTGACTCCCATGTGGAGCAACTGCGCCGGCTCCACTACATTGACTGCCGTGCGGAGTAACTCCATCAGCTCTGCTCCACTGGCTCCGCTCCATTGACTCCCGTGCATAGCAACTCCACCAGCTCCGCTCCATTGACTCCTGTGTAGAGCAGCTGCACCGGCTCCGCTTCATAGACTCCTGTGCGGAGCAGATCCACTGGCTCCGCTCCATTGACTCCCGTGCGGAGCAGCTCTACCGGCTCTGCCGGTAGAGTGAAGAAGTGGCGATAACGCGCAGATCAACGCGTTTACCGCGATGGCCCCTTCTCCGTGTCAGCACACGAGCATGGAGAGTCTTAGCGTCGGCTGCCAGACCTCACCTCTGCCGCCGCATGCATTGAAATGAGCCAATTTGAATAGATTTGGCTTCCTTTAAATAAGGCATACAGAATTATTGCTTTTCATGCATTTTATTCGTTAATAATAACACCACTCAAAATGCAAAGAAGAATGTTAAAAACATAACCAATTGAATTTTCAGCTCAGTGGATATTTTACTTTTCGAGAAAACAATGGCACAAAAAACATGCACAAACTTTCGATCACGAAACACGATTTCGTCCATTTGAGCACAAGTAGGCCTATGTAAAGAACACTTTATTTCCAAAAATCAATCAATGGGCTGGACGTTTGAATTCACCCACAACAATTCCTCGTTTCTAAATGAAATATAACCAGAAGGAATAATTTCACAAGGTGTTTAGTACCAGTACCATCTTTAATCCCAGTTTTCGGGGTAGTAGTTCGGTATATAGACATAATAACCAGCGCCTTGAGTACCTAATTGTTGGTAGATACGTGAGCTATATACGACTCCGTTATTATTATTATTTATTATTATATAGGTTACTTTTGAGACAGGCATAAATTGAGATAAATTATCATGTGTGCCTTTATAAAACTTCGCTGAACGTCTTTTCGGACATGTCGTCGGCAAAAAGTACTCTTAAACCATGAACTACTTTCGAAATCAATTCTATTATGGGACGATAGATCTAGCCAACTTTTGATTCATTTACTAACATGGATACGCAAAGTTTTGCTCAAATGTGTGAATAATTTTACAGTGTGTTGTATATTTAAAAGAGTTAACAAAATATATTTCAATTTGTGACATGACTTCAATTTGTGAAGGTTAAAAGTAATTTCTATTTCTGCACCAGAACTAATAAGGGTTTGCAGCAATATTGTAATGTTTTTTTTTTCATCACCCAAATAAATATTTGTACAAATACTACATGTTCTAATGTCCCAAAGGAAAAGGATCAAAGTGGTCTATGTTTTGGCAGTTGGTGAAAATGATCGTTTTGTGTAAGTCTTCTAGATTTCGTGTTAGTCTTCTAGAAACATAGATGTATTTAAAGTACATTTGAAAAAAAAAATAGGGACAAGTATTCGTATATTCTATTTAGGTTTGCAACATACATTAAATGCGAAAGAACCAGTTTGTATAAAATTTGTATAAAATTACGTATTTATTTCAGTGTTGGAGCAAAGGCTTTGACCCTCAAGGCCAAGGCCAAGGCCAAGGCTTTGACCCTCAAGCCTCGAGGCCAAGGCCAAGGCTTAACCCTCAAGGCCAAGGCCAAGGCCCTGTTTTATGAAATGACCACTGATATAGAACTAATTATAGTCACATGAGTGACACATCATCACGCAAGGGCGGATCCAGAATACAATTTGGGGGGGGGGGGGCAAAGAAATGTTGGTCCCCCCCCAAAAAAAGTGGGTCAAAAAATTACGGCTTGGGCTTCGGGTCCCGCTTAAGGGCCCCGAAAAAAATTTGGATTCGAGATGCTCTGTGGTGCGATTTGAGGCAATTTCTGACCATTTTAAACGATGTTTTTTGGAAAAAGATGGTGGTGTACTCATTGCCTGCCTTTATTACGACGTCACATAAAAAAAAATAGTTTCGTATTTTTTTTTGGGGGGGGGGGGGCAATGGCCCCTTTTGGCCCCCTGGATCCGCCTTTATCATCACGAATTGCTCGTTACGAAGAACAACATTTCTTTAATTGCAATCAACATGCTCGCATAGGCCTACACCGTTTTATGACTGCACTGTATCTATTAAAGTATAAGTTCAGGTCTTCAATAAGGTTTAACTAAACAAAATAATGATTTACTTCTACATTAACACACAATTCTCCCAAGTGTAACAAAAGGGGGATCCAAGAAACTGATTTGGGAAATTTTTATTTGCTGGCCCAACATGGTCAGAAATATCAGCATTATCTAAAACAGATACATGCAAATCTTTAGCACTTATCAGGGAGACATATACAACCAATCAGATCTATTCCATAATTATATGCAATTAAAGTGATCATCTCATTAGCCCCACAAGTGTACGGAATATTGTTGCAGCAAATCTACTACAATGGTAACAACATGTGATGCTATAAAAGTGGAAGTGTGCCCAACACACAAATCTATATGGTGCTTCCCTCCTCCATCGTAATACGATTAAAATGGTAACAGCAAAATTTCGAACAGATTTATCTGGAAAATGCAAAAATCTATGGGCCTTGAAGATCCTTGACTCAAAATGGCAAGGCCCTGAACCCTCAAGGCCAAGGCTTTTGCCCTCAAGTCTCGAGGTCAAGGCCAAGGCCCTAAAATCCAGCCTTAAGGCAGCCTTAAGGCCAAGGCCCAGCATCAAGGCACTACATCACTGATTTATTTATTCCTATTTATTAATTTGTTTGTTTGTTTTTTCGATCGAAAACTGTATATTCAAGTACCCTCATATTTAGACGTTTTTTGCAAAGTTCGAGGAATTGTTTCGCATCTCGCTAGTGCTACATGTTGTAGTGGCTTAAATTTATTTATTAATAGAGTTACCATGTATAGACGAGGCTTCGCCCCGCCCGATAGGCGGGGGGGGGGGGGGGGGGTCGCGGTTGAGGGGCCTGTCGCCCGCCGGATTTGTGTGCGTTGTTTGCCTCGCTTTGATTTTCAAGATGGCGTACCCTGAGAAGGTCTATTGTCCCTCTTTTGTAAGCACTCTAACTTTTTGGGATGACCTCCCATATGTTTTGTTCACGATGTCAGTTGTGGACCTTAGGGAATTGTTGACCCTATATTGCCCTCTATCAACATCCCCTGTTGAATGCAAAAACAAACCCACATACACACACCCTTTCTTCGTTAAAGTATAGCGAGGATGACATAAATGTTAATTCAAGTTGCGATTCATCGATATTTTAAATGAATTGATAGTGAATTGACCGGATATTATTTCCGCTATACAGTATTTTGTACCATCTACTTTATCAGAGCGTGTCTTTGTTAGTTGTTTCAAATAACAGTTGGTAGAGCACCGGAACGGTAATCCGAAGGTCGCAGGTTGAAACTCCTCTCCAGACAATTTCTTTGTTCAACCATAAAATAATTATGAAAAGTAAGACTGCTGCAAACTGCTTACTGACTGGATGGACCTGAAATATATAAATCTAAAAATTAATGTGGCCTGACGTTGCGAACTTAGCAAGTTCTTCTTCAGCCTCTGAAGAAGAACTTGCT